AAAAGGTAAACAAAAGTTGTAACATGTGTTTACAAATAAATCATCTAAACTAGCACATTGCAAAATAGAGAACAAAAGGGAAGGAACAATCGGATTGATAACCGTTGAGCATTATTTGCTACAAAATGTATAACCAATAAGGATTATGCACCATTGGCTTTTGATGTTACAAGTAGATATTTTTTCATTTACGTGAACCAGACGTACAATTTACTTTGAATACTGCACATAGGGATTCCAAATTATGTGAACGTGAACCAAATACATCGTTAACTTTGGATACAGCAATTAGACATTACATTAACGTGAACCAGATGCATTATTGACTTTAGATACTGGAAGTATAGATATCCCATTTACAAGAAACATAGACATTGGCTTTGATACTACAAGTAGACTTCCGATTTACGTGAACCAAATGTATCATTAACTTTGGATAGGTACTGCAAGTAGACATGTAATTCATGAGAAACAGATGAACCATTGACTTTAGATACTGCAAGTAGACATTTCATTTACGTGAACCAAATGTGCCATTGACATTAGATACTTCAAGTAGAAATTTAATTTATTAGAACCGGATGGGTTCATTGACTTCGGATACTATAAGAAGACATCCCCTTTACATATAACACATTTGGGTTCTGCAAGTAGACATTCCATTATTTATGTGAATCATACGTACCATTGAATTAGGATTAGTTAAGGAGACATCTCATTACGTGAACCAATTGTACCATTGACTTTGGATACTGCAAGTAGACATTCCATTTACTTTAACCAAATGTGCCTGTGCCATTTGCATTGGATACATCAATAGAAATTTAATTTATAAAAACAGAAAGACCAATGGATTTAGATACTGCAAGTAGACATCTCATTAACGTGAACCAATTGTACCATTGACTTTGGATACTGCAAGTAGACTAGACATCCCGTTTACGTGATATAAATGCACCATTGACATTGGATACTGCAAAGAGACATCTCATTTACGTTAACCAAAAAGGAGCATTGACTTTGGATACTGTAAGTATACTTCCCATTTACGTATAACAAATGTAGCATATTGGCATAAATGGCATGCACCTTTGGGTTCTGCAAGTAGACATTCCATTGTTTATGTGAACCAAACGTGAAACGTACCATTGAATAAGAGGATTCAACCAGGAGATGTCTCAATTACGTGAACTAGATTTAGCATTGACTTTGGATACAGCAAGTAGACATTCCATTTACATATAACAGACGTAGCATTGACTTAAAAAAATGATTAATATACTTGCTCCGCTCAATATTGCAAGCATACAACTGCATTGCACACCTAGTTACTATCGTGCTTCACTTCCTAAAATCATGAAACTATTTCAAACTCTGAAACATAAACACAACACTCTATAACGAATGAGTCAGCCAAAGCTTTACATAACGCCTCCGCGCCTTCAAGGCTGTAGTTAGTGTTCCAGTTCGCGGCTATTTTTCACCTCTCAAAGCGCAAGTAATTATCCAGTGGGAAGGTGAAGTCTCCATTAAGATTCCGGCCACAATCAGCGACCCGGCTGATTATACCAGAGGTGGGTCATCTGTCTACTACTGTTCTGGTAGCGAGGGTGTGCGTGCGCGCGTGTGTATGTGTGGTGGTGAGGGTACGATTGATGGTCCCGCCAAACGGTAACTGATAGCTGCGCCTAACGCCCGCGTTTTTCACCGATCCAGTTTTGATTTGTACCTGTAGGTTTTTTAACCTCCAAACTCCGGCATTCATAAGTTATAGAACCGTCTGTAGTTTGAGCTGATTATAGAGCAGCTGTTTTGTAAATCAGCTGTCGCGATAAGTTAGGTTTTTATGCATTAAAAGTATTTGATGATGTTTAAGTGTGTTATAAGTCATATCATTGACTTTTTGTTGCCAAATTCATTTTGATCTTCATTAATTCTGATCTGGAACGGGTGGCGTAGTCCTGTAATCCAGCTACTAGGATGTTACGAACTGTGGATATTTATAGGCATGCACTGTGGATGCGATATTCCGTGTTGTGGATTAACGTCCGCACGAGTGAGTACTACGACTATCCGTAGTACTATCATGAAAATTAGACCAATTCGTATGTTACCAAGGCAAAAATGTGGTTTGGATTCCACTATAAAAACTGTAGGTCCCTTAGTTGCCATTAGCTATATGGGCCATCAACAGCTGTGTCTAAGGAATAAGTCAGCCTTAGTCACTAACAAGACTACAAGATCGCGCCACTCATCCTACACTCATCTCCATTCATACTTGGTTAAAAATACCTACTTTGTATGGTCGCCATTGCATTGAAAAGGATTAAAAGTATTAAAGTATTTAAACAGAATTAGTAAATCTTTCGATATAAAGTATGCATTAACACACTATATTTTCAGACGTTCCTTAATGGCAGATGTAAAAAACTCAGTTGTACATTTTTCAATTTTACGTTTACTGTTTTGATGTAAGTTTTCTAAATTACAGAAAAAAACCCAAAACCTTAATACATTAGAAGGAACCGCATGTTTTAATGTATCACATAATTATATGCTGCTCTTCCCATTACTTCGTTTTTTAGAAAAAAAAAAAAACTTGGCGTTAGGTGTTGTCCTTATGATGTCCCTACCGGGTAAAAACGTCCAGAAAAATCCAAAATTATCACTACATTTTGTTTGTGTTCATCTTCACCAACAAAGATAAAATCGTTAAATCTTAAAATTGAAGAGAATCTTAACCGGATTTGACCTTCTTACCGTTGCACCGTATAACGCAGCTGATACATCGCCTATCACTCATCCCACTCCCTCCAGAAACAATCAACTAGTTGGTGTCATTAGCACCATAAAGTAGCGCCTAACCCCGATATGCCGGGCCATTGTCTTCGCCTTCGTCTTTTGGCTAGCCTTTAGACACTTGACTTATTCCGTCTGGATGTCTTTGTATGCAGACACGGTAAACATTTAATTAATTCAGCCGCACATCTAATTATCCTCTCGAGGCAGTAATCTACATTGCCGCGTTATGTCATGTTTCCCGCCAGTCGCCAGTCAGCTGTTTATTGAGGCGGTGGTTTTGGCGCGGTTTCCAGTGGCGGCTCACCTGTCCAGCGGGAATGTTGAAGCCGTCGTTATTTTTATATCTGCCGCCCATCCTTCCATCACAGCTGACTGACTGATGTGCAGGCGGGTTTTTGATCTCCGGATCTGAGGATTCCTCTGGGAGATATCGAGAAAATAGTTTTCCATGAGAAATTCTAAGGTGTATAATTCTTACGCTCATTAAGGGTAGAATGGTTGTTACAAAGAATTTTGAAAATTATATTGTAAAGAAAGTTTTGTTACGCTGTATTACCATCAAAACATGCATAGGGAAGATATCGTGCTCAGTTTTGAAAGTCTACAAAAAGGTTGACCGTGGCCAACTTGCACGAGGAATGCAGGATGCTTTACATTTAAATAGAAAGTAAAATTCTAAATCCTCTCAATATAAATAATTATTGACACTTGACAAAGCTTGAAAAAGAAGTAAACGTAGAAATGCAAAAGGACAACATGTTCAATCGCTAGAATATAACACGAAGATTACAAAGCATATAATCGGAATATAAAGTAATTTTGTACGAAAAAGTTGTGTATTTACTTTTAATTACATTGTACACATGCCTACTAGAAAGGAATGAAAATGTTACATTTTTCAAATCTTACGTTTAAGGTCCAGGGAATTGCTCATTGTTTAACTACATAGATAGTTTCACTTTTTAAATCAGAATCGATTGCGAAAACGAAATCAAATCTTGCAATCCATTGTTCACAACAATAACAATTAATAAGATAATTGTTATTAACAATAAAACAAGGATCACCTTAGAGTACTCCAGGTTTGTTTTTAACCCTTCATTTAGAATAAAAGCCATCCAGAGACTTAAATTGTGGAAAATATAATGTAAAGATATGCTAAATGTTTAGCACGTCTCCGGTTACCTAACTGAGACACAAATGAGCCGGAAAAGCTGTTCACCGCATGTAGCCTACTTACCGGGTAATCGCTTTAGGCGTCCACCGGCTCTTATGTGGATCCTCTCTAAGGAGCTTTCGAGCAAACGTTTGCTAGCAATTGTTCAATGGGTTAAGCTCTTTTTGCCTAGAGGAAAAGAGAGTCCGTCCTTTTATTTTATTTTAGGACTGAATTGAATATGCACTTTTCATACTTTGGGGCACTCCCATATTGCTTTTGCAAAACACGGGTTGAAATAAGTTTTCAAAAGCCAAAAAAAGTGTACTAGAAAATTTCCAATAATGTGTACTAGAAGACAAATAATTGTGTAATTTAAGGTTAGAAATACTGCGGGTTTAGCTTAGATTAATTGACTCATTATAGTACATTCCTAGTTCTAAAGTAAGTAATATTGACAGATTTCTCCCTGTTTACAAACATCTCCCAGATATTTAATATGTATACTTCAATGGTGGCAATGATTGGGTATGTACTTAAAATAATGTAAATAGTTTATGTGGTTACACTGGTGCTGAAACAAGCTCTGCTATTCACTTAATTGAAATGTTTATAGCTCATTGACGATTAAATGAGTAATAGCTCCTTAGGGTGTTATGCATTAGCTGAAATTTCGACCAACATAATGATTAGAGAGATATCTTACCTAGTAAAAGGTTTAACGACGAACCCTCAACCGAAAATGCTTGCTTAGTAAATAGAAGGTCACCAGTTCGATCCTGCGAGAAGTCATTTGCTTTTAAATGGTTCCAAACTGAACCAAGTTGTCTTTGATCGTTGAGCTTTTAAACAGTCCTCACCAAAGAACTGCCTACAGTCTGTTACAACACTGAACGAGTCATCTCACTCCATTATACACTCAACCTATATTTATCAAAAATAAGTATGGCGAACTACGTTATACGTAAAACATACTAATAAACGTACCAAATTATTAGCTAAAAATACGTACACGGTGGTAAAGAGACTAAAAAGAACTAACCTGCTACAAGTAGCGTGGCGTTTCTACTGGTAGCAGAGCCTGCGACGTTCCTCGCGACGCACCAGTACACTCCGCCATCCTGTTCCTTCTTGCCGTGGACGACCCTCAGGAAGAACAGCGAGCCCGCGGGCAGGATGACCCTGTGGCTCTTGGTGTCCGTGTCCAACAGCTGACCGTCCTTCCACCATTCGATGGAAGGCTCCGGCTTGCCCTCCGCCTTGCAGTTGAGCGTCACAGGGTCGTTCTTGGGCACTATGATGTCTGAGGGGTGCTCGGTGATGCGGGGCGACCGAAACTGCCCTGTAACAAGAGATGGCGTCAGTGGTGGTTGGGATGTTATGGTGAAAACAGATTGGGTTATTCAGTGGTTTGTGTGTGTGTATTCCGTGTGAAAAGGAATGTCAACAGACATTCAGGGAAATGTATATGACATTCTTGAAATGTTTGTGGATGTACCGAGTTTGATCCTGTCTCACATTGAAGTAAGAGATTGAAAAAAACTTCGCTAGCACGGCCTTTACTCATTTTAACTACTGAAGTAGTCAAATACGGAAGAGGTTTTAGAAAATCAATAACTATTAGTTTCTATGATTGCTATAACCAGCAATATTTTCAGTTTAAGTAAGATTAGAAAACCCATATACTTTGTGGAAAAGAATGAACTTGGGAATTATCAGGTCGCACTACATCCACTATATATCAGTTCTAAGATTTGCTAGTTTAATGTTTTAGGTCACGAAACCATCTTCATGCGACTGACATCTCAGAAACTAAATTTTAAAGTAACTATTCTGGACTTGGTTTTTGCCTTATTTACCTATCAAACAGATTATACGCAGTTCTATGTAAACATCAGTTACTCCTGATGGCACAAAGAATGTTTTCCACAAGGTCAAAAAAGGTAAGTTCCGCGAACAATAATGACGTTGAAATGTCTACTTGCGACAAAAATTACGGCAATAAACAGTAAAAGTCTTGACAACCAAAAATCAAAATACTATCTCTCATCGTTCACCGTTATAACTAATCCAGATCCAAAAATATACTGGAATTAGTTAGCTAAAGATAGGTTTCGCAGTTACAGTTACGACCGGTGTCTACTTCTGGTCTTATCTCGGTGCTAGAGGCAGAGCTAGATATTATTTAATCATATGGTTTACCAGGCTGATATGAGGATTACTACACTACGGTACCGCGGGCGCTCGGCCACCAACGCCATAAAGACGCCATAAAGTCAGACCCGCCCCGCCATTAAGATATTAGCCGCCACGGAAGCGCCTTTCAATTCTCTCTCGGACCTTCCTCCGTAGATTAAAACTGGTTTATCGTGCAGTATGGTGAGTCGGCGATTTTTAGAAGTGTCTACAACTTCCAAAATTTTAGTAAAATGTCCGTTTTTGGTAATAGGGAAAACAAATTGATGAACGTTAAGGACGACTGAAATGTCGATCAATTTAGTTTTTACACAATGTGGTCATTTATTTTCACTTGGTATGCAGTCCTATAACTTTGATGGTGACCATTGTGAAATATGAAAATGACGATTAAATTTGGAATATCTTTTGATACTATTCCTGAATTAAAATTAATACAAAGTACAGATGAAATGTTGAAGGATTAAACCATCCATCCTAACTAGTCACTTATTCTTAGGGATTGAAACATTTATGTTTGGTGGAACTAGTCACTCAGCAGCGACGTCTTCGAAATATCTATAAACCAGGTAATTGTGCGTAATTTTAACTCGTCGGAAGTTAGTTTCCACATATTTGTTGTACATTGTTGAAACCAGATTTTCTATTGTTGACGCGTCATTTAGTTAGCTAACAGTACTTATATCTCACCGTGTAGGTCATATCAAGTAGAAATAATAATTTTAATGAAAAATAAATATGAAACAGAGTGTAAGTAGGGGTGTCCTCGTTTAATATACAGTACTGTATGTTACTGAAATATCAATATGGTTATTTTACTAATAATGCTATAAATATCCTCAATCTCAAACATTTCTTTAATTAAATAGCTGAAGTTGCTGTTGAGTTAATTAGCGTTTACTCTATTTGTAATATTGTCGATTATGGAAGAGGCGCATAGAGCTGCCAATTCGTTATATAACTCTGACTCGATTTCTACTGTAATGTACGTTTTGAAGTAAAATTATTAACATGGTCTCGGTGACAAAGCACAATTTACAATTTATAGTAGGCCTACATTAGTATGGATATTCAGTATGAAGGTAGAAAAAAGTTTTTTTTATTATTTAAAGGGATTTTTGACAGTGTTAATATCCAATTTCTTAAATTAATCCATTCTATAGCCCGTAAAATTTTTTGTGATTCAAATATTTACCCTAGTTCCATATTGTAATGGCCATTTGTTAACGAAAGTTTGTACTTCAGATGGAGGTAAGCATATTATTTTAGAAAATATTTGAAAAATCTTTATTGTTTCAATAGTACATACAACTGTACAATTCAGAATTATTACAGTACCGTACACGAAACAATAACCACCAAGGTTAATCAACCTGATTTGGTGGAGAATGCCATTTTGGTCATTTTTACACTTCAATATTTTGACCACAATTCAGTGTTGTTAGTAAAACAATCAAATATAGTTTAAAATTAATTTGTATGGTGTCAAAATACTTTTACCCACTTCACAAAACTTTTATGGACGACCAAAGATTTAATCCCTCACCAAAGCTGAAATTCAAAATTATTTCCCTTCCAAACCCTCCACAGTTCTAGGACTTTCTAGAAATCCACAAGCCTCGCAAAACACAGCTTTATTCACATTCCACAACAATAGCGCCGGTTTCACGCACGTGCCCACACATCTCAACGCCGCGGCTTCACACGAAGGTGTTAAGCGTGTAAAACGTGTTAATGAGTACAAACACTTTACTGCGAGGAGCGGCTAGACTGTGAACACTCGTTATAGTGCAATAAATATTCATATGCATGTGTGCATTGATATACTGGACAGATGAATGTGTGACACCGTTATAGACTTGGATGTAGACAGTGTTGTAGGGCGTGGTTTGCATGGGATTGTGCTTGACGTGTGTTTTCATTTATTTACCTTTCATGTGTATGTGCAGTGAGAATGATTGTTATGCGTCGTCGTTAGTTATGCTAAATGATAAGTTTTAAATTTTGTAAGAATTACATTTAGTATTTTTTTGTGGCAGATTCTTTTGATTGTAAACTTTTACTGAAAATACCAGGCGAAATAAAATTCCAGTGGTGTAACCGTTAGGAAATGTTTACATAAGTATCGTTGACATGATGACGGAAACTAATAAATTTTGTATGTGGGTATAAGTATATAGATTTTTCCCATATTTTAACACAAAATGTCTTTAAGAATTGGGGTAAATTACTACTATTTCATCAAGATATATGATTTTTCTATAGTGGCATTTCTAGCATTTTAAATTCGTACTATGTTTAATTATGCTATCATTGACTATATAGTAACAAATGTCTAATAATAAAATTTTCATTGAACATGATTTTGGAGAAAGTATCTTTTTGACCATACAAATAGATCGAGGTTTACGTATTCTAATTCATGGGATTCCTTCAGTTCTCGATTTGAAAGGTAGTATGAGGATATTAACATGTACCCTATGTTATTTTCCCCAACATTTTACTAACTTGTCAGCAAATTAAAACAACAGAATGAATGTTACCAAGATGCTCGGCATTTTTTGGGAGAGGATCTTTTACTCTTGTAAAGTGCCTAACCACTCATTCACAAACGTCAAAGTGCTCTCATTATACAAAACATAATCAATTGCACTATGCGTGACTAGGTGATCCAGCAAAGCCTATGTTACTGACACCATAGAACTTCTATAAACAAACATATCATCCTTGGCAGTTGTTTTGCTCTAGTTTTTGTAGCGGTTGCAATTCTACACTTGGCTGTAACCGCAGAAGTAGCTTCACTTCTCAGCGATGTAACTCTACGCTGAAGGATTGACAGGATAAGACGAGTTTTAGTTGTGGGACCTTGGGCAACAAATGATAAACTATTGTGATCGCTGGAAGTAATAACTTTTTAGTAAAATACGTGTTGTTTTTACGCATTTTAAATGGATAAGGTCTAAAATGGTCAAATGCTACATTTACACGCGTGCAGAACTGAGATTCTAAGAACTGAGATTCTGCAGAAAGGAGTTGGTCTAGTGGTAGAGCAAGGGTCTTCGGAGCCCGAGATCGCCTGTTCGAATCCCACCATTCACCAATGGATTTTATCTATGTGAGCCGCAACCATTTAATATGACCAGTCTAAAGTAATGTGTGGAAAAAAAGAAGGTGGAAAAACTATACTGAGATTTGAAACGGTATTCATAACTCTAGAAATGGATGATAGGTTTTGATTGGACATCTTTACAATCTAGATGCCTGCCTACGAATAACACGAATTAGTCGGTGTCCTCAGATAAATAACTGTTTGCTACCGAATGTTCCGGGAGACAAGTTTGTATAACACCCTCCACGATTGAAATTCACAAAGGCTTCTATTTCTATATCTATATTTCATGCTATGTGTTCTTAACACAAATAAAATGTTTTAGTATAAAAATGGTCCTCCATTTGGGGGTTATTTCTCACTAGATGATTATTTTATTTTTATTTTACCCAACATCCACATGACTTTACAGGTTTCATCTAAGGGTATACGAAATGGTTGGCAACAACGATGTTATTAAGTTATTGTAAATGTATCCAGCCAACAACCATAAACATATGGTGCTGAATGGTGAATTTCACGGCAATAAGACAATCTTCACAGTCGTTGAGATGTAATTATATGTTGGACAACCCACGTGCAACTCGCTGTTGTATAAATTTGCAAGTTGACTCTCGTAATGAATGCAGGCATGCAGTATTTTAGTACATACAAACTAAAACTAAAACTTTTTTATTGTTCATAAAGTTGACAGGGGAGAACTGAATACTACGCAAAGTTCCCCTAAACAGGACGAATACACCTACATATTTCAGTAAAACACTAATATATGGAATAATCTATTCACAGGGTTATTCACGAACGTAATTATCAATTTGAGGGTCTGTTTCCAAGGCTAAGGGATTTTTGAAATATTTAGTAATTACCTACCAAAATCTATAATGGCAAAACATTATTCCACCTTTGATAACGATAGCATTGTTATATTTCCTGTAATCACATGCAAATGTGGATAAAAACCCACAGAAAGATTTAAAATCATAGATTCTTTGATTGAATCACCATTTTAGTACCCTCATCACTCTTTTTCTTACTGT